TAGTGATACAGCAAGTTTTATTACATACCTGATGTATCTTACTATCTTACTTTATTGATACAGACGGTTTTATTACATACCTAATGTATCTTACTATATCCTCGACCTGGAAATCGACACCTGGAGATTCTAAACCATCAACCTATGTCCTAGCCCGAGTTTCCCCTCTGGCCTCGACACCAAACTGGTGTGAAATCACGATCAAAGTCTGGTGACAGGACCAAAAGAAACTCGGGCTACCTATAATAGCTCTGTCGCATTTAGTTCGCGCCTGTGCTATCAATATGTGGTGAAACTGGAATGGGTAGATCGTTGGCGATCAGGTACCGCAATTGGAATATAGCGTCCGTCTAGAGATCGAAGGGTCCCGGGTTCGAATCCCAACCTGGTCATGCATTTTTCTTTTTTCCTATTAAAAAAATTGGCGAGCTTGCACACCCTTGTTTCAAGCCAAGCATTGGCCGAATGCCTGATCACACTCTGATGCCCGAACTGGATGGTATATAGTTGCGTCTTAGGGGGCGAAGAGTTAGAAAAAAGAGGGAGTAATGTAGCGGAAATGTCCACTGGGTCGATCGTCATAGCTTCCATGTAGTTTTCATGTAGTGTCGACGTCGATGTAAGCTGGTACAGCTTCTTGAGACGCATCTTGATACTTTTCTATAGCTGTGTCCGGTTGTGAGTAGCATGTAGGTACACATTTTTGGTGATGAAAACGCCAGTGATTGTTTAGCAGTTTTTAAAAACTATTCAGGGAGGGGCCTCTACAACTTTATTTGGGAGATAGTTCCCCGCGACCCTACTACTGTACAGGTTCTTGGTTACGTTGAGCCTCATCCTTCTCTTAAAAAGCTTTTTGGAGGTGTAACCAATGTAGCCATTCTAATTAGTTTATCTTTGTCCAAAAGTCAATTTCATTAATGATTTTGTAGAGTTGTACGACAGCTCCTCGCAAGTGTCTATATTCTAAACTTGAGAGGCCCAGTGTACAAAGCCTTTCACTATAGGATTGTCCCTTCAAGAATGGTAGGCGTCTTGTTACCCTGCGTTGAACATTTTCATTGGTGACCATATGCAAGTGGCGTATTCCAAGTGTGGCCGCACCTCACTTTTAAACACTTGGATAATCACGTCTTTATTCATAAATGTGAAGGTCCGAAATATCAGTCCGATGATTCTGTTGGCTTTGGAGACACACTCGTGTACATGTTCACAACATTTTAGTTTATGGTCAGATACCACTCCCAAATCCTTTTCTTCGATCACTTTATCAATGGTTATTTCATTTTCTCCTAATTTTGTTGTGCAAGACGAGACCCTGGTTTGATTTCCTACTGACATGTGTTTACATTTGTTCGCATTAAGTTTCATATTCCAATCTTTTGTCCAATCACATAATCTATGGATATCGTCCTGGAGTGTCTTAATTATCATCGCACGGCCCCTCGAAATTCCGGAGTATATATAACTTGGTATCATCAGCATTTTTTTAACTATGGATTGCACGACTTCCGGTATATCGTTGACATTAACAATAATAAACGTGGTCCTATGACACTCCCTTGAGGGCCACCACTAGTTATACTCCTGGTGTTGAATATTTCTCCATTGATCACCACCTTTTGCTTCATCCCACTTAGAAATTATTTTACCAATAAAGAAAACCGGTAGATAATTTTCTATCTTTGAGCAGAATTAAACCAATTTTTGACTAAAAACAAAGCTATGAAAATCAATTTCCCAAAATTAAATAAACATAGAATTCAACGGGAAAACGACGTAATGTGAAAGGATTTCTGTTCCGTTGCACTGATGTTTTAATACAGTAATTAACCGCCTCTTGATTTCATTTTGGACATAACATCGTTGACCAGGCAGCCCAGCCGGTTGGCCGTGTATTTCTTCTCTCCTGTTACTAAAGTTATTAGCGGGCACTCTCGGCCGAGCAGTGCGAGCCGTTATAGCAACATATGTACGGAAAGTACGGGGAAATGAGAGAGCATTGTTCTATGCTATAATGAAGGCTTCAAAAACGTTCGTCCCAATGGCTTACCACATTATTTAGAATATTTTCATTTAGTTGCTTCTTATTCCTACAGTTCAGTGCATTTTGTTTTTGTGTAACTACATTGTAGACATTGACACATAATGGATATCTTAGATGTAGTGTACGTATTACATTTATGTTACTTTTAACAAGTTCTTCTGAAGTCATTTTAAAACAAGTTCAAAAACAAAGAAATTTTCATTCTGAATTTTTGAGCAAACACAAAGAGATTTTTTTCTTCTGAATTTTCATCTCGAAATATTGTCATAGTTTTCTGTTACCTGATTTTTAAGAACATGATCTATTTTTAAAAGGCGCATTTTGCTGTGCCATCTGCTTCTTCACCTTACCAAATTATTTTAGAGAAAAATTGTGTGTATATATTTTTTGTAATATAATCCACTATTGGTTCAGAATAACTGAATGAAAAACAGTGGAAATGCGGCATGAAATCAACAGTAAAGTATAATTATGGATAGGAAGATATTTTGACTTATAACTGACATTTTTTGTGCAAATATAAATACATATAGTTTCAAGAGGAACATTAGATTAAGGTCAAGGTCAATTATTTTTTTATAAATGTATTCATTATTGGATATCCGACTGTTCTTTTGTGTCTTTGAATGATCTTTTAAAACTGGAGAAAGGGCAGGATCTCTTCAATATGTACTGCGTAAGGTTATCATTATCCTAATTGTATATTTACATACAATAGATCACTGTTAAAATTAGCATCAATTCTGGAGTTAGACCTTTGATTCTTTTGAATGCATGTATTGAAAAACACTAGTCTTAAAATTGTGTAAATCAACTTTATTATTTTTCGACTGCCCAGCATGTAACGTCATGATCACTTTTTAACAGAATGTATTTCAAATCAGAATATCTCAATGAAGAAAATATTTGTCCCTTGAAAAATGGAATATATTAATAACAGATACAAAAGAAAATCTATGAAGTTTGTTTAGAGTTTTGCATCATTGCAACAGAGAAGAAAAGAAAGTCGAAGAATAAAAAAATAGATGGAAGTAACAAAATATCCCAATATGGACGGCTGATCGATTTTTGTTACATTTAAATATATTCCTCTGCATATCGCCAATACTTGATTTGCAAGTATTTCTGAGGTACTTTGAAAACAACGAACCAGGGCAGATCCATTGCGCAGGCTTCAATATGGTGTAAGGGCAACTTAGGGCAGACCGGGACAAGTTCGGCCCTGGGGTAACTCCGGCCACTCCTGATATTTTTGGTCTTACGCAAATATTTACAACTTTGAGGATCTAAGCAGTGCAGTTCACTAGGCAGGACGTTCATACGAAAAAAATCTCGAGAAACTATAAATTTAGATTACTAAAACCGAGAAAAACATTTTTTGAGAGGGTAGAAAAAAAATCTTGACCTAACTTATTTCTAGTTTTGCAAACATTCTGTAAACCATAATGCTACTTATTGATGTCATACGTGTAATAAACCGACAGCTTCACATGGTGGCATACATATAAAAGCGGGTAGAGACTAGCATTGAGTTTTGTATTGCTATGATATACCATGTACAGATTTCTTAAAATATCAATTTGGGGCAAGTTCGTCCAATGACACAGGGGCAGGTTCGGCCCATGTCAGGAAAGCTGTGAAATTGGCGGGAAAATATGACGTTGCATGCTTTATGACGTCACAATTATGCTAATTCCAATTTTGGCCGAACTTACCCCAAGGCGGTGCACACTAGTTAGGCCATACACTCTTCCGTCAGTAAAGACTTAAACTACTTTTCACATACGAACTTGTTTGCCATTCTGTTAATTTTTTTATGAAGGGCATGGAATTTTTCTCTTCCGAATGGCGTAAACTCACCTACATTGTATTTAGTTTAAACAGTATTGTAGGCAGTGACAAAGTAATACAAAATCAACAAAGAGGATACGAAAACAAGTATATAAGCACTTATATCAATTCGTCTCCTTATTAATAAACCTGACAGTAGGACGGCACTGTTACATATATTTTGATAGTATAACAGACAAAGATAAGAAGAAATCAGGGAGGGGAGGGCTGAATGGGTGCATCATGAAATGAAAGAAAGTGGTTACGAAGAGAATAACGAGAAGAACTGCATTACTTAATTGAATCTGGTTGGAATGTGATTCATGAAAAGGTAACCCTAATGAGCTCTATGTAAGGATGCATTAAATACATTGGAAATCTCTAAATTGCCTTGCGTTGATTCCAATCAAAAAGTATACTGATATCCTGATATCCTGTAAAATGCATGAGTTTTGTAGTCTATATTGATTCCCCTATTTCATATTAGTTTTTCATAAAAGACCCGCCAAGGGTTGAATTTCTTTTCGTTATTTAATTACCAAAGCGAGTAATAAAATGTTTTTGGCACAGATTGGTGCCGGGGGATCCATAGAAAAAAACAGTAATTCATGCTTCATTTCCAGCCCCGTGAACCGGAACTGTGAAATAGAGTTATCTCCCTTGATTTGAAATGGCTACGAGAGCAAAATAATATTGCACTACGATGGCAGATGTTGAACATAAAGTGTTGAAGTACAAGTCCTACCTAGAGACTAATCAAAATGGAAACAAGGTAAACATAAACAATTGTCTGACTAGAAATTATTGACATTGCATGTAGATCTGATTCCAAATTCTACAGCAAGTTTCGGACAGTCCCTATTTAGGCCTTACTAGTGAAGATTTGAAATTCAGCACCCATATCAACAAAACTGCCAGAAAAGCTAATTCCACCCTCGGATTTCTTCGCCGCAACCTTAAACACAGCCCTGAACCCCTAAAGAAAACAGCTTACATCGCACTAATTCGTTCGGTTTAAGAATACAGTGACACAGTCTGGGTTCCAGCGAACCAGAAAGAGACAGATACCATTGTCATTGAATCGGTTCAACGACGTGCAGCCAGATTTATATATAACAACTATGGACGGAAATCAAGTGTAACTGAAATGTTAGCAAATTTAGGACTCAAACCACTAGCAAGGACAGTCAAGGATTGGAACAGTTTAGACCCGGGTCTTGTTTCGGCTGATAAGTTGACCACTTTCAAAAGAACTTTGTGCCTTGACTGAGCGCACATCCCGTGGACAGCTATCTTCTATCAGAAGGAGTCCATGTATTTATACAGATACAGATTCAGGAATCGAGAACGACAAAATATTTTTTACCCGACGGATGCTTTCCATTTGAGGAAGAATTCAAATGAATTAGAAAGAACGGATGTTACATATGATCCGGGAAATTGTTAGTCAATTCTTGATAGACCTGAATAATGTTAGGTCCTAACTATTTACTATACACTAGGATTTGCACAGGCGGTCGGATCTGACCCCGGCCATCTGCAGCTGCATGCATGTAGGAACCGGTAAAATGATACAGAGATGTAGAGGAAACTAGTTTCTAACGGCCCTGGATACAGATAAAGTAGTGTTTACAAATGGACGACCCATTGCACCATTAGTCACAGCTGCTAGTTACATTGAAGATAATATTTGAGTGAGTCTTGGGGCCCAGAAATTGGCAGAATACGATATAATAAGATTAAATCCACTGTTTATTAAAAGAACGACACGTGAATAAAGATGTCATATATATATATAGCCACACTAAACATCTATAGTTTATATAGTGGCACTGGACGGGTCAATCACTGACGACCAGGAAGCTCAATTTTTTGGAGCATACATCTAGAGTTTGAAGGGTCTCGGGTTCGAACCCTGGTCTGGCCATGCATTTTCCCGTTACAGTGTCAGTCAGAATGTTTCAAGTCTGGTGTTTGAGCCATAAGAAACGTCAGACTAGGTGCCATAGAATTTAGAATAATCAAATGATTACAGTTAAAAAGAATGGATAACAGATGATCATTGTAATCAATATGACCGTGTTCAAATCAGTTGTGCATTTGTTTAGTGGACATATTATATTACTGAGTGAAAAAATTGTCTCGGACAGTATATAAAGGAAGTGTAACAGAAGAAAGAAAACAGCCAGACAGGGTTTTGAACCCAGGTAGCAGTATACAGTAGAGGGTTGTGGCCATGGGTGATATTTTTGTTAAATGGCTAACCCTTGTATAATGATATGTAAAAAAAATACAAAAATAAAACTGTACTAAAATTGGTATAAGCATGATGAAGTGGGCTATGAGAGCTTCACATTTGTAAAAAAGAAAGAAGATTTTTTTGGGTCGAGGATAAAATTTTGGCCATAATCCGAAAGGGTGCGTACACATGAAAAGCTAGCTTTACAGGAGGTAAAATTTTGACAACAGCACACGACGCAAAATTGCAAAAATCAAGTTTTACAACTTTACTGGGACCCAGATAATTCTGCAACCAGGTAGGTAATCTTTAATTTCAGACAGAGCTTAGAAAAAAATTACTAGTTGCGGGGGTCAAATTTTGGGTTAAAAATAGCAATTTTTGGCATTTTTTGGTAATTTTTGATGTGGTAACCATGGTTTTCACACAAGGGACATACATAGAAAAAAGAGGTTTATACACTTCTCGGTACTTTATATGTATTGTAAATGTAATGCAGTTTACAAATGTGTATACATGTGTTGTGTAGGGTAAATCTGCTGTGTTTACATTTCCTCGAGATGTGCCTTGTTTATCAGAGTCGGGCCATTTCTACTGTATACTGCTACCCCAGGACCCTCCAAACTCTAGACATATATGCTCTAGCTACCAATGGAACTACCTGGGACTCTGATAAACGACCAAGTCTAGTTCTGCTACATTCCTTCCTCCTCTTTCTGAGTCTTCGCCAGCTCCGAATACAACATTATTTACAATTCAGGTTCAGGTATCCCCTGGCTATGCATTCACTCAGTGCTTCAAACAAGAGTTGTTAAGCTTTCCAATTTTGTAAGAAGATGAAGAGAAATGCAACCGCCAGACCGGAGTTCTATCCCGAGACACCCTAGACAGGGACACTACCAATTGAGCTACCTGAAACCCCTGTAGAAAATAATGCTGTCATGATCAGAATGTGATCATATGATATTACGAACCACATTAGACAGTGTACGTAGTGCTCAGAGAAAGTCCTGAAATTTGAGAGCATTTTCAGCAATGTCTTGGTAAATATCAAAATTAAGAGACCTGGGTCATTCTATATAAAAATAAAATAAAATTGGAACATGAAGGGGTAAATTTCAGTTACGAGGGGTCAATGGCCTCATGACTCCCTCCAGGATTCTCCCTGGTGGTATTCAGCTTCAATAATAGCAGTCGGCTAGAAACCATCTAGACAAATCTATGTGTTAGCTGTCAGTTACCAGGTTAACCAAGTTCAATGCCAGTGGGCATGCACAGTGTCACTAAAATAAATCATACTCAACTTCCAAATGTCAGATATCAAGCAATGTATTCATTGTCTGTGGAATCAGATTTGAAAAGTCTGTAGCTAGTGCTGATGTTTACAAGGCAATTTGAAAGAAAAGATATCTGGTCAGACCAAGAAAAATAATGAGATTCTAGCAGACGACAAATCTATTATCCATGCATGCTATCTGAAAATGAATCAACACCAATTTCCTTTTATATGGTATCACAGCAGCATGGGGATATACATAGTACATTTGAAGTAGCATGGAAAATATATTTGTTTTGAATATTATATTTGAAAAATTATTTAAAAAAATAAAAAAAAAATGTGATAACAACAGGCAATATAAACACACAATACATTCACTTATGTATTTTTCAGACACAAATATATGAGTCCTGAATCCCACACAAGGAATCTCATAATTATGAATTAATGGGACTTGTCAACATGTACATTTGAACATAATGTTCAGGGTTACCTGAAAATTGCTGCTTAGATCATTAAGAAAGAACGCTGCAAGTTGGTCAATGGCAAGGAATCTTTGAAAGGTATCAATTATGTATTTAGATGTTACCTATGATCAATTGAATTCTTGCATTATTAACACGTATTTGGATGACAAACAGATAAATTACTATAATACTTGTTTATCTTTTAGGTGCTGTATATTTTTACACGACTGACTGAAATGCTGATCACCATTGATATTTTACAGGTAATTTAAGATACAAGTCTATCCCACTTAGGCCAAATACAAATATACCTGTGTTTCCTGACCCTACTATTTCATGCCGACCCTAATATATTTTATTGGTTTTTCACAGTCATTGTTATGCATTTATTAGCCGTTTAATTGTTTAAAGTGTGCATATAATTTGCGATGAATTTTATTAGCCATGGCTCGTGGCCAGTGTCAGAATTTTATTTGAAGATAGTAGCTAAGTAGACGTAGATAATTGTGGTTATGATATAGGTTGGGATCTGTAGATAAGTATGATCATCTGTAGTCTAGGAGGGGGGAGTTTAGTCTGTGTTGCCAGTGTTGGCTNCCCCCCCCCCCCCCCCCCCCCCAAATCGATCAGTGGAGTTTGAATTACTAAAAACTAGTGTCAAGCAGTAGAAAAATACATATTTTTAGCATTCATGTAGGTAATCAGGAAGTTTTCTTCACCAGAAAAACAAAATATGTATAAACAGGTTGTATGTACATATTTAATGTGTCAAAACTTTTCAAGGTCGACTGGTCCCTTTGTCAAGGTATGACTAGCTATGAGTCATGACTTGACAAAAGGACCATGGCCAGAGGAACTTGAAACGTTGTGGCACGTTAAATACATACACATCCTCGATATCCAGGGGTTAAGCTCACTTTCGCTCTCTACACCCCTAGAATATGTCATAGCATAATTGAGGGCAAGCGGCCAGCTATTTGATTGGTGTCAGGTAAATAAACCTGACCAATCACTAGGCTGATACTGGTCCTTTGAAGATTACAAAGGAGCGATGCCGACTTCAAAGCCTGTCAATTCTGTCAATTTTTACTGTTATGCGACTGTGAGATTCTTTTGATGTACATCAAAGGACCAAACTAGTCTTCTCGTCTCATCCACAAGATGCTGCACATTGAGCATTCAATTTTGCTATGACATATTCCAGGGATGTAGAGAGCGGAAGTGGCAAAGCTGTATATAGTAGGCACAGTAGTCTAGTGGTAGGATGCCAGACTTATGACTGAATGGTTGCGGGTTCGAGGCACGGCACTGTGTTGTGTCTTTGAGCAAGATACTTTACTCTGCTTGTTCCTGTCTACTCAACTGTAAATGAGTACGTGGTTGGGCAGTGCTAGATATATTGAATGCTAGCTGTGAGCGCGGAAATGGCAGCACCGCCTGTATGCTCCCCAGGGAGTTGAGAAAGATATTTGCTGGTTGCGAAGGCCCTTTAACCACGGATAATAATTTGTGAACCTTTTTGAGACGACCTTCAAACTAGGTTGTGTAAAGCGGTATATAGGAACCTGAAATTATTATAGCAATAATTCGACAATTGTCATTTAATTTTGAATTTTTGTTTGTAGAGAACTGGAATAGGTAAAGTTGTGAACAGCTTTAGAAAGAAAGAGGGAGAGATCGGACAACTTGCAAAAGACATTGTAGCAAGATGGAGGTCAATGGTGGCTGAAGAGGCCCTTCGATTGGAAGTGGAAGCGGAGGCTCGGGAATCCGATAACCAGGGTGATGTTAATAGTGAATCGGGGTCAGAATCGGAACAAGACTTGAGCACTGATGGCGATGAGACAAAAGAGGAAGAAATTAGAGAATCTGAAAACAAATATAAAAAGGAAAGCGTCAAATCTAGCTCTGCTATCAACCAAAGAAAATCGTCCAGTAAATATGTTGATAAAACACAAGTATCCCATGAAAATGTGCAAAAGGAAAGCAAGGGTAACCAAGTGGAAAATCTCAGACACAACAAGCAAGATGATGGATTGAAAAAAACCGACGACAATAAACACAAAAGTTTTCATAGTAAGCATTCAGGTTCTGAAAGTAAACATTCAAAGTCAGATAGTAAGCATTCAAGCTCTGATAGTAAGCATTCAAGCTCTGATAGTAAACAGTCTAGCTCTAATAGTAAGCATTCAAGCTCTGATAGTAAGAACAAGAGTTCTGATAGTAAGCACGAAAGTTCTGATAGTAAGCATTCAAGCTCTAATAGTAAGAATAAGAGTTCTGATAGTAAGCACGAAAGTTCTGATAGTAAGCATTCAAGCTCTAATAGTAAGCATTCAAGCTCTAATAGTAAGCATTCAAGCTCTGATAGTAAGCACAAGAGTTCTGATAATAAACATTCAAGCTCTGATAGTAAGCACTCAGGTTCAGAAAGTAAACATTCAAGCTCTGCTAGTAAGCATACAAATTCAGAGAATAAACATTCAAGCTCTGCTAGTAAGCATACAAATTCAGAGAGTAAACATTCAAGCTCTGATAGTAAGCTCAAAAGTTCTGAAAGTAAGCACAGAGGTTCTGATGGTAAACTTAGTGGTTCTGATAACAAACAAAAGAGTTCAGAAAAGAAGCAAGACAGTTCTGAAAGTAAAAACAAAACTGAAGAAAAAAAGCACAGAACTGGTAATTCAAAAAGTGAACAAAAGTCTTCGTCGTCCGAAAAAAACACTATTTCTGAAAAGTCAGAGAAAGGGTCAGCTTCTTTGAAAGACTCTACAAAAAATGAAGTGAAAATTGAAACAGGAGAGTTAGTGCAAAGTTCAACTGATAATCCTATGTCGCCAGAACTCCGTGAAAAAATAGAGTCCAGAGTTGGCAGTGACGAGGACCCCTTACACTGGGAAATGTTAGAGACATTTGAACAGATCAAGTCCCCTAACTCCGAAAAGTCTCTGGAGAACCTGTCTCGCCATGAGAAAGTCAATGAAGAAAGAAACCGGTCGTTGGACAAAAAAACTTTGACTGAACAAAACCCTGAATCAGAAAAGAAAAAACACTCAGTATTATGTGATACCGAAAAGTCAACAGTTGGTGAAAACCCCCGTGGTAGTGAAGTTTTAAATGACAAGAAAACATTGACAAAAGAAAGAGAACATTCAAAAGACCGTGATCGTGAATCAAAACACAAACACAGGGAAAAGGCATCCAAATCACACCACAGTGAACAGAAGGAATGCTCAACAGAGAAAGATAAACACCATCGGGATGAATCGGGTCATAAAATTAAACATTCAAAACATAAGCATAAACATTCAGATAAAGATAAAGAACATAAACATTCAAAACGGGATAAGTCTGAGAAAAGGGAAGTAATTCAAGAAAAGGAAGAATCCAAAAAGCAAACATCGGAGAAAGAAGATTTAATTACTAAAGGACAAGAGAAAGAAAGACCGAGATCTAGTATCTTGGAATCCTTATCAAATGAAGTGGATGAAGGAAAATTTGTCTCCGATGATGTACCGGGTCTTTGGTTCTTAAATTCTAACAATAACAGTTTTCTAGCTGGTAAGAGTGACATGGAGGGTTCAAAGTTGAAGGAGCCTTGTGAGAGTTCAAAGGTCAAAGTTGATTCACACTCAAGTGACAAAGATTATACCAACTCGTCCGAGAAGAGTCTAACTTCCGAAAAGGACAGGGAAGAGAAAAAACGACATAAGCATTCCAAAAATAGAGAAAGCTCCTCAAGTAAGCACAAATCTCACAAGGACTTCAAATCTAAACATGATTCAAAGCACCACCGAGACAAAAAAAGAAAACATTCTGGTGATGCAGATGATTCCAAGCCCTCAAAATCACGTCGTAAAAGCAGCCAAGATGGAATGTCTTTCGAAGATCTTCTAACTGCAGGTGCTACGGAGACGAAACAATCACAACCGTCGAAAATGACACAAAATGATTATGCTAAATTGAAATCAAAATTCAAAGTGAAAAGGAAGGAAGATAATTCAACTAGTGTTTCAGCCAAGAAAGAGAAAGGTGGAGTAGAAATGAAGGTTTGTGAATTTAAATTGATTCTCTGCAAAATGTTTCATTTTTAGGTAAAGGGTACCAGCAAGTTGAACCATATTATTACCATTGCCACTTCATGTTAGACATGTACAGGTACTGTAAAATATTTACCAGAAGTCCTTTGCTAAAAAAGCATCATTAAACAGAATTATAGTAACTGTTGTTTGAAATTTGAATGTATGTTTCAGTGAAGTAGCACTATCAAGTCGGTATCAGTTCCGTGGTATTACAAGGAGACAAACACGAACATATCGCAGCCTCCCAAAACACACACGCATACACTACACGCATGCATCTTGCACTCAGGGGAGGCGGTCCTTAAATGACCGTAGATGTTGATAGGCATTTAACAATACTTAACCAAACCAAAAATGAATGTTTGCAAATTAAATAGAAAAAATACAGCTGTCGATCTAAGAACTCTACATTGCAAAGCTTTACCAATTTTGCCATCCAGGAAATTATAAAGCACAGCAATTAAATGAGTGTTGAACTGATGGGCTGCAGCGCCGATGAAAAAGTCAAGGAAAGATACATTACTTGGTAGAGGAAATTACTGTAAGACAGAAAAAAGGGCTTTTTGATTGCTATATATATTCTATATAGAAGAGAGAATACTTTATATTCTATATAGAAGGGAGAATACTTTATATTCTATATAGAAGGGAGAATACTTTATATTCTATATAGAAGGGAGAATACTTTATATTCTATATAGAAGGGAGAATACTTTATATTCTATATAGAAGGGAGAATACTTTATATTCTATATAGAAGGGAGAATACTTTATATTCTATATAGAAGGGAGAATACTTTATATTCTATATAGAAGGGAGAATACTTTATATTCTATATAGAAGGGAGAATACTTTATATTCTATATAGAAGGGAGAATACTTTATATTCTATATAGAAGGGAGAATACTTTATATTCTATATAGAAGGGAGAATACTTTATATTCTATATAGAAGGGAGAATACTTTATATTCTATATAGAAGGGAGAATACTTTATATTCTATATAGAAGGGAGAATACTTTATATTCTATATAGAAGGGAGAATACTTTATATTCTATATAGAAGGGAGAATACTTTATATTCTATATAGAAGGGAGAATACTTTATATTCTATATAGAAGGGAGAATACTTTATATTCTATATAGAAGGGAGAATACTTTATATTCTTTATAGAAGGGAGAGTACTTTATATTCTATATAGAAGGGAGAATACTTTATATTCTATAAAGAAGCTTAAAGGGAGAATACTTTATATTCTATATAGGAGGGAGAATATTTTATTTACTACATGTATATAGAAGGGAGAATACTTTATTTGCTATATAGAAGGGAGAATACTCAAAGAAATAAAAGAAAACTATTGAGTGGAACTCTTCGTTGCAGAACTTTGTAACTGGTGCAGTGATACCCTTAACCTGAATTCTAACGACGTACCTGCAGATCAAAAAGAGAATAAAGTATCCACTGTTGAATATTTTCCTGGGAAAGAAAATCAGTTACCAGATTTCTTAGCTAATGATGAGCTCATCCTCCAAAATTTCGTCGACATATGTCATTTTTACTGGATTTCTGATATGTTTACTTTAAAGTTATTGTGTGTAATCTTAAATGTTCCTGAAAACAAAACTATTCAATGGAAATGCTGATATATATCTCTTTTGTTATACTGTCAGAGGTAAATACTAAAATTGAATTTTAAACTACTGTTCAAACTATTTTCTGACCGTGTACCAATTTGGGTAGTGTACCAAATTATTGTGGTAGCGTGGTGTTAGGGCTAAACCTTTATTAGCTCTTTCTATTCAAAAAGACCATGGAGGATTTAATTTGGTCTTAGTTTTCCCCCTTTATGTTTAAAAATAGAAAACCAGGGTCATTTTAGATTCAAGGTCACAAATGGAGGTCATTGTCACTTTTTTGTTCGGAACTATCTAGTATATAAATATACAATTTGTAGTAGAAAGTAGTGAATATCATTACATTGTATCTTAAAATGTTGATTGTCACTAAGGATGTTTATAACACGCTGTTAACTGTAATATTTTTGTTCTGTACAATTTTCACCGTCCAGCATCATTTACTCATTCACACCTACATATTTAAAATGGACTTGACCAGTCTTTGATTTGGTAAGGTTCAAATGTGACTTAAAGGGTAAATGGGTTAAACTGAATTCACCTAATATTGAATTCACCACGTATATAAACTGACTTTGTAACTTTATATACTCTAGATCTACTGTCACATATTGAAATCGCCCTCCATTTGAGGGTGAATATTTATCCTTCAACAGTTGATAATTAAGGACTCCTTTGCTTTAAAAAATATCGTAAATAAGTTTCAAGTGAAGCTCAAATTTGAAATTCATTTCAGAAAATATTTTTTTTACTGGCTTTATATATATATATATATATATAGCATGTACTGCTTGTGGTTGTTCTAATGGTATATTCCGTCTGTGCCTATTGCAGAGTTATCTTCTCTTGGGAGCAGTTATTGATTGTTACGTCATTGGTTTGTGCGAGAAAATTACGTTGTTTTCTCAAAAATTGATGACGTTACTCTCACAAACAAGTGACGTAACAATCAATACCTGCTCCAAAGAGAAGATAACTCTGCAATACGCAAAGACGGAATAGTCTTACACTGTTGTACCATTCGTTATATCTAAAATAATCACAATCAGATACAGGGTGCACGTGGTTGTGTGACAGTGTCGGCCAGGGTTCTTTACCCCGACAGTATGTAAAAAGGTGTGCTCGACCAAGTGGATTTTCTCTGTGTTCTCCGGTTTCCTCCCACATCAAGACCATTTGCGCACTATCATCCGAACCTATGATTTGTTTCATAATTGTTGTAAAGAAATGAAGTTTATAATTGTATATTTTTAAATCGGATACAGGTCACTGAAGAGGATGTGCTTGGGGCTCTTCCTCAGCCCAATACCCACTACAGGCCCTGGAGACTAAAGGAGGTACCTATAGAGAAAAAGAAAACTGATGGTAAGTTCTAGGATTGTATATGGTCATTACACAAAAACAGAATACAGTGATAGAAAAGCTCCATTTAGAAAATATTCGTAAAACTAACATTTTTCGTGGTTTCCAGACAAGACACTATTTCGTTGGTACAAAATGTACATGAATTTAGGGATTACGATTACCAACTTAAATCAAGAACTGCTGAAATTTGTAATAATTAACCTCGAGCTCATGGACGTTTGAATTCGTAGATAAAGATTACCAATGAAATCAACGAAAATAAAAACCCAATTTCATAGTAACACTAGTCCTGTAGTCTAAATTTCTAGACTAGTGAGTCACAAATCTGATTAAAACCATCCTTTAGCAATATAGATGTTATATAAAGTCCTGGTAAGTTTTGACAATGTGTTTTAGGCATGGTTTGGAAAGAAATATTCATTTCTTACCTATGCATGTTGTTATTTCTAACAAATATATATATATCTGTTATTTTCTTGAAAGTCCAGACGGGACTTAATTGTTTGGATAGGACGTTATGGGTCATTTTTGGCCTGAGATAAAGTAGAAATTTCAACTTGAATTTACTTACAAATATCTGTTATAAACATCATATTGGTTGATTTTTTCCAAAGCGCATGTGTAGCTACCTTATCATAGCAACAAAATTGCGTTACCATGCAGAAATAGCCAAAATATGGTGTTTTGGGACAATTAGCATGCAGAAATTAAAGGAAAGCTTCTGCATGTGACAAACAAAAATTCCTTTCTAGGAATGAACACTGGTGTGACAATGTTTAAGCTGTCAAATATTTATTTGTTTGTTGCATGCGGAGTCTTTCAAATATTGAAGAGTAATTAGTTAATTTCCTTCAAAATGGCCAATTTTCAACCAAATAGCGCACAACAGACAATATTCACGCATTTTATCATGAAAATGCGGGTTTATGTCTCTTTTTGTAATGCCTTATCTCCTAAACCAGTTGTCGGATGAATTTGAAATTTAATGTTTGCATATTTCATTTATTCAAGATTTCAAATATAACAAGTAATTCTAAATCTCCGATGGGGCCGGAAATGACCCTAGTCCTTTACTCAGTCTGATTAAAATCATGTAACATGTATGTAAACCTCATGTCTTTTTACAATTCAAAAACCACCACTCGTTGGGGACCTCTATATGATCATGATGAGCTAGGCTTTTCGCATTACCCCAGTTATGATATAGCTGGTAATTGATTTTCAGTTTGATCATGTGGCATGCATTGTATCGGATATATAATTGTACATCTGAAATTAGCTGAATTCCATGTAGATCAGAATAAGGATACAGGAAATATCTTGCCATCGAATATATCTCTTATTAACCATTGAATTATCACAAATATATTTTATGTGTAACCAGGGACAGTATATAGAGGGGATTGGCAACTCTGCCCCAGTCAAGATTCTATAGCACGTCGCTTTTGTGTTTGGCCCCTCTCGATCAGCCCGCGCTTGCGCACTAGCGTTAAAATTAAGCACGCACCTGCTTTCGGTGTCATGTCAACAATCTCGCCGAGATCGAAGTGTTTTGATAACGGTTAGCCCTGATTGGGACTGTGTAATAGTAGGTCTTCTTTTTATTCAAGGGACAGGGCTATCGTTGCCACTATGTCTAGCCTTTCGGCTGTGTTGGTGGCTATTACAACAAATCACATTTCGTAAAGCACGTTCCAGTGAAAATAATGCTAATATTGACACTTTTTGACACAAAAACAGCAAGTTATTTGTTATTTTCGCCATAAAAATTAGTACTTCATATCAAAAAATTATTCAACTTTCTATCGCTGTAAATTTCAAAAAGAAGTATTTTTTAAATGAGCTGATCCTCGAATGCAGGCGATACTTTTTTGTTGCGTTTAACATTTCCGGTTGTTTACGGTTTTTAACAACACGTGTCCTTCGTTACCAGACGAGTAATTTCATCTGTGACATCGCTATCGTTCCAAATAATGCAAATCAAATCAGGCCTACTTAACATAGAAATTACTCGGCTGTTTATTGATATTAATTGTTTTAAAAAATACAAACGATTGTTTATAAAATTAATCAAAACAGTGAGCAGTCACCAACTACTTTCGCATTAATGATTTACGTTCCAGTGAAAAATAATGCTGATAATTAGTCTTTTTGACACAAAAATAACACAAGTTAAATTATATAATTTGCAATTAAAATGGGTTAGGTCGTTATAAAATTTATTCAGCTTTCTATTGCTGCTAATTTAAAAAAGATCGGTCAAATACCTTTGGAGTGAGGTGGTTCACATACATGTGTGGGTTTTTTTATCCCGCATTTTTGTCTGTCGACGCCCACCACAATATTCTGAACCACGCGTTACATCGCGTTTAAAAATAAGAAAATATACACCAAAAACAAGACATCAATTACTATGATATCACAGATTTTATCAATTAAAAGTAATACAATCAGCTTATAACAATCGGATAAACAGAAGACCTAAGAACACTTATCGAGATTGGTTTGTTTTCACACCAACTTCTGCATCTAACGAAGCGGTATCGACGCCATCTTGCTTTGTCAAAATTGAGATAGGTGGCGCTCGCTATCTGCTCCGGAATCAGGGGGAGGTAAGTCTAGATTGACGTGTCATAAAATTGGAAAGGTAAAGAGGGAGTTGCTAATCCCCTTCACTATACGTCCCTTGTGTAACAGAAGTCATTATTGTGTTAATGCCTCTGCTTGGAAGTCGAACCCAGGACCTCTGGTTCACTAGTCTTGGGCTCTACCGAATACGCTAAAGAGAAATCCGCCCTAGCCAAGTCACTAGGAAGCAGCTAGTATATTGTAGCAGGGTGACAAACTCACCCTTGAGGAAAGAACTTGTACCGAGTCTTCCAGGGGTCATAGAAATTCTTGTGAAAGTATCGCTTGGTATTTTTGTCACTATTTCCCAGGTCTTTACATGGGTGTCCGACTATCAGTGTAACATCTAAGATGATTGTGTTTATAAATATTTTTTTCTCACTATTTAGAAGAGCTTTTGGATGAATTTATTGCTGCTACCAAGAGTACAGGAAGGACACAGATGTACTCAGGAAAAAAACAAAACTTTGTGCCAGGTAGGAAAGACATTTAATTGTACATTTACCTCACAAGAGACTTACTAAAAAACAAAACGTTGTGCCAGGTAGGAAAGACATTTAAATGTACGTTTAACTCACAAGAAACTTACTAAAAAACAAAACTTTGTGCCGGGTAGTAAAGACATTTAATTGTACATTTAACTCACGAGAGACTTACTAAAAAACAACTTTGTGCCAGGTAGGGAAGACATTTAATTGTACGTTTAACTCACAAGAGACTTACTAAAAAACAAAACCTTGTGCCAGGTAGGAAAGACATTTAATTGTATGTTTAACTAACAAGAGACTTACTAAAAAACAAAACTTTGTGCCGGGTAGGAAAGACATTTAATTGTACATTTAACTCACAAGAGACTTACTAAAAACAAAACTTTGTGCCAGGTAGGAAAGACATTTAATTGTACATTTTACTCACAAGAGACTTACTAAAAAACAAAACTGTGTGCCAGGTAGGAAAGACATTTAATTGTACATTTAACTCACAAAAGACTTACTAAAAAACAGAACTTTGTGGTAAGTAGGAAAGACATTTAATTGTACATTTAACTCACAAGAGACTTACTAAAAAACAAAACTGTGTGCCAGATAGGAAAGACATTTAATTGTACAATTAGCTCACAAGAGACTTACTAAAAAAGAAAATTTCTTAGCTTGGTTTCATAAATCGCATATGAAATAGGAACTCTTGTAAGATCTTCTGGTGATAATCCATTGTCTTTCTCTGTATTGTACGGTGCATTTAACTTAATATCACATCGTTCATGTCACTTTTCGGTTATAATCATGTTTTCTTGATGCACCTATTTTCCTGCTATATCATCTATGTAATTTAATTCTTTTAATATCGCTGGTTTTGATGTCAATTTCGCTTAATATCACTTATTTTGGCCTCTGTCACAAAAAAATAATTGGTTAATGAAAGCAAGAATCAATTATTTATACTCTCGGGATCTGGTGTCACACCTGGACACATTATGTAAATAACAGTTTTATGTCTGATATGTATCTGTGTAGGACTGAAACACTTATGTATTGAAACGCAAGTGTTTGTTTCGTCAATATCTTTAATCACTGCTCAAGTATGGAGGTAACGTAAACATCAATGATCAAGTGACTGTTACGTAGACTTACAAGTAAATGGTTTCTGTGAATGTGAGGGACTCAATGTTCTTACAATATAGAATATCATTGAACTAAGTGCTACATCTAAAAAGCGGTGCAAATGATAAAACCTTAGCAAGTTTCACGTAATTTACAACAGATCGCTTTTGTTTTTGAAATGATCAAAGCAACATGAAACACCATATACCGACAAGTGTGAATCTGAATCTTAAATGAATGTTAAGTTGTTTTTGGTTAATACATTACTTGCACTGGTAGTAAATAAGGCAATTGTTCGTTTTATACCTGACATACCTGAAATTTAAATGTTCATTAGCGTCAAGCTTGTTCATGTCTTTTTAACTCATTCACCCCTGAAGAAACATTTGCACTCTTCCAATTTGAATGATGGATGTTCATTATGAAATTTCAGGGATGAATGAGTTAATCTGTAAAATGAACTGAAGTCCGGAATTCTTGCATCAAGTGGTACATACTGATTTCTTGTTAAAATTTTAAAGTTAAAGTTAAATAATTTATGATATACATGTATATATGTTATATGAAATATTATAAGTAGTTATTTATACCTGTCTTTTGATTTGTATTTCAGAGGTGTACAAGCTGTTTGACATGTGTATGACAGTTCTTTGCAATAACATTGACAGTAAGTATTTTTCATCGCGACTGATTACCTTGAAAAAAGTTCCTGAGATTAAAAAAAACCTGATACAGCATTTTGCATTAGGCCAAACTTATTTTCATCAGTTTACATCAAGTTTATTCCTATGCCCCTAGGTATGAGATGTAAAGATATCCTACGCCCCTACCTGAATTCAGTCTTATTGACTCCTTGAAGCACAAAACAGCTGTATGGTGCAAGGTGTTTAATTTTTGGCATACTGTATCTATTACTAAAGGTACAATCTCCTGTGTGTGTGTAATGCTGAACTTCATCTTTCATGATACAATGTAACAGACTGTTCTGGTGGATTTCTCAATCCCTGAGGTTTGCTGTATTCTTCATTGCCACAGTTATCTATTTTGAGTAGTGGCACATTTCATAATAAACACACTTTTCTCAGTATTTTGTTTAAGGATTAACTTTCTATTTAGTTTAGGTTATCGGATGATAACTACAATGGAACTTGGGTAAATTGAAAATCGGCGAAGCCTCGGGTGACCCAACAAAACAATTTATGTACTTGCTAACTTTTATTACATGAGAAATGGCATCGTTTTCAATTTTATGTGGTTTTTATTCAGAGATTTATCATTTGTTTACATATCTCCTATCCCCGGTACTTCAGCTTTCATCAGAAAATAGCAATGGAAACCCCCAGGTTGTTGACGTACACATATGTACACTGTGGATGTATCACTGCGCACACAAGGTATAACAGCATGAGATTGACTGTCCTTATCGAGCGATAATGACAATGACCTCAACAAAGGTTATTGAGTCAATCACACTCGAAACTGTAAATACTTGAAATTTACCAGTAATCCTTCAATTTTAGAGTGTCTGTTGCTGTTTATTTTGTTATGTTCCCTATAGCACTTTGATGGACATATATTAGAAATTGAGCTGTAAACCCTAAATTATCTCCCTTAGGTTTGGAGTTTGTTGGCGGTGTGCCATTTACTATTCTGAAACCTGTGCTGGAGAAAAGTACTGCTGCACAATTGTATCGACTGGAGGATTTCAACCCTGTAAGTAGATCTATTTCATATATCTAACAGTTGCACGTAAAGAGAGGTAGAATTGACTACATCCTCAATATCCAGGGGTTACACTCACTTACACTCTCTGCACCCCTGGAATATGTCATAGCAAAATTGAAGGCACAAAGACAGCTGTTTGATTGGCCTCAGGTAATAAAACCTGACCAATCGCTAGGCTGATACCTTGTCTCATCAACAAGGTGGCACACACTGAGCCTTCAATTTTCCTATGACATATTCCAGGGGTGTAGAGAGCGTAAGTGAGCATAACCCCTGGATATTGAAAATGAATTTATCACAGCATAAAACATTTTGTCATGAACATTTTCATCTAAAAGCATACATATTTTAGTGTTAGTATTATTTGGGGTTTTTTCATGCTTTAAATTTTGCGCTAAAAGTATGAATTTTTTAATTAGAGTTCTTTTAAATATTGTTCTTTATTGCATCTTTTGTGGATGCGCCAATTTATCAATGCATTAATTAATCTGTAATATATTATGCGCTAAAATTTGAGTGTGCTAAAATAAATACGTTTACAGTACCAGGGTACTGCTTCACAAACAGGGTGTAACTTACACCAGGGTGTAAATCCATATGTAAGCCGTACGTAAAAGTTAGTTCAATGATAGTTCAGATTGTTACTGTGCTGATGTTTACCGTGTTTTGACTATGTTGTAATCGATGTTGGCAGCATTTCCTGGAAGAGTCCGACCAGTTATGGATGAACCACTGCCACAAAGAATTCCGGTTGAGTAAACCGCAGGAGATGGAGTCATGGAGGGAACATTACTTGGTGAGCTTTGTATACTGGGCACACTTGTGTTACAGAAAAAAATGATTTTCCTGAAAATTGAAAGACTTCAACTTTATTTTTGGCAAAAGAACTTGAATATCATTTGAAATTCTAAGAAGAGATGACCAGAAGTTCTGATGACAGCCCACATAGTGGGCCGCAACATGTAAACTTGATTAAATTTGCCAAGAGTTGACTGGTCATCTCTAGATCTTCTTTGAACTTCTATTACTCTTATGGCCGGACTAGTGAATTCCATTTAGAAATCCATCAACCGGAGTAAGCAGAACTTCATGAACATCCACTAGCGGTCGTTGGATCTCATTTTCCCTTTTATATGAATATTATTTGGTATAAATGATCCCAGGACCAAGGGGATTCCATAATGTCAACAACGAGGAGGATAGACTAGTGGGAACAGAGAAGTCGGAGTCCAATAGAGGAAGTCTGATTGAATTTTTATAAAACTTTTGTTATAAAATATCTTGTATTTATTTCACTTTTTTTGGAGTCATATGAGTCGCTTAATAAGTTGACCTATTGTGGTGGTCGATTTTCCGTCGTTGTCTGTCATCGGTTGTTTATCAACATATTTCATGAATCATATTTTCAACTTCTCAGAAACTGTTATCAACATATTTCATGAACCCAAATTTTCAAATTCTCAGAAACTATTTGTCAGATATTGATGAACTTTGAAGTAATCGTCAGCTTGTGGTTTGGATCAGAATCTACACTCAGGAAGGGGCTGACCACTAAGAGTACAAAACCTTCAAAAGCTGTCTCCTCTAAAAGTGACGGGCAACGGATCTTGACAAAATGTCATACAAGTGTTTGGTATTACTTTACGATAAGTCAAATTTCCTTTTAAGAACATGTTCAAGATGTATTTTCTGTTGCAGAGGAAATTTGACGAGAGAGAAGAGAAATTGAAGAAAATTAGTGCCAATATCAACGCCTCAATGGCCAAAAAAGTTCCAGGTAGGCTAAGAGTGAAATGCTTTTCCTTAGTATGTTTGTTGATCCATGTACATTTTACAAACTTTTATCCTCATATATCATATAGCTATTCTTTGAAAAATATGAATTCCGGACAATTTAGGTACTTCAATATGTCGTATCTGAATTATCGGTTTCTTCACTTGCATCTCTGTTATTTACCTCAGCACTTCAGGGTCTCTGATGAGTAAAAAAAAAATATATTAAGTTTATTTATTTTTACAGCAGTTATGAAACAAATTGTTTAAAATTGATAAACATAATCACTCTTGTTGGCATGGCTGTTAGCGCTTGTAGGGGGGGGGGGGTCATAATGTGGGAGTACCGAGAGAAAACCCATGTTCAGGTGACCTCATACCTTTTCGCTTCTGATCGGGGTGAAAGGTGAGAGTGTTGTCCACTGCGCCACCCGACCACCCTGTATTAGTTTGACTCGGTGATACATTTGATGAGTTTCAGTAGTTGAATCTTCAATTGATTTTGAGCATTTATGTCAGAAGTAGTGAACGTAATTGTGATATCTATAGATTATCATAATTCATCACTAATTTATTGTGATTACCAAATTTTTAGCTCACCTGGTCCGAAGGACCAAGGTGAGCTTATGCCATACTGTGGCGTCCGTCGTCCGTCCGTCCGTCAACAATTTCTTTAAACGACTTCTTCTTCTTAACCACTGGTTGGAATTAAACTATTAAACTAAACCAAATTTGACTGGAAGCATTCCTAGGTGGTGGTGATTAAAAATTGTACAAATGGTGGGGCTGACTCCCCAGGGGGCTTAGAAGCGGGGCCAAAAGGGGTCAATTTGGCTATATTGCTACAAACAACTTCTTCTGTAGAACTGTGCACTGGATATCAATCATATTTGATCAAAAGCATTCTTGGAAGGCAGGGATTTAAAATTGTACAAATGGTTTGGCTGACCCCCCAGGGGGCTGAGGGGCAGGGCCAAAAAGGGGATTTGGCTATACTGCTTTAAGCGACTTCTTCTCTGGAACTAAGAAGTGGATATCAACCTTATTAGACTGGAAGCATCTCTAGGTGGTGGAGATTCAAAATTGTACAAATGGTAGGGCTGACCCCCCAAGGGGCTGAGGGGCAGGGTCAAAAAGGGTATTTGGCTATAATGCTTTAAGCGACTTCTTCTCTGGAACTAAGAAGTGGATATCAACCTTATTTGACTGGAAGCATCTCTAGGTGGTGGTGATTCAAAATTGTACAAATGGTGGGGCTGACCCCCCGGGCTAAGGGGTGGGGCCAATAAAATATATTACCTGGAAATGGTTGAGATCTCCACCATATAACCATATATACAATTACTGAGTATAAAGAGAAGAATTCACATTTGCTTCCAGGATGTCCCTAGGGTCTGGCCTCACCCTTGGAGACATAGTCCCTGGGCCATAACTTGAAAACGGTTGAGATCCCCACCCCAAAACTTTATATACAAATGCTGGGCATAAAGAGACGAATGCAATCATGATATCAGAATTGACCCTGGGGTCTGACCGAACCGCTAGGGACCTAGTTTCTTAGTCACAGCTTGGAAACAGTTGAGAGCCCCATCCTGCAACCGTATATGTACAATTGCTGAGTATAAAGAGATGATTGTACATATGCTTCCAGGTTGGCCTTGGGGACTGCCCCACCATTGGAGACTTAACCCCTGGGTCATAACTTCGAAATGGTTAATATCCCCACCCCAAAACTATATATACAATTGTTAGGCATAAAGAGACGAATGCAGTCATGATATTAGAATTGATCCCAGAGTCTGCCCCACCCTTGCACACTTGGCCCCTGGGTCATAACTTTGAAACGGTTGAGATCCCCACCCCAAAACTATATATACAAATGCTGGGCAAAAAGAGACAAATGCAGTCACGATATTAGAATCGATCCTGGGAGTCTGGCCACAACTATAGGGACTTAGTTACTGAGTCAAAGCTTGGAAACAGTTGAGATCCCCACCCCATAACCATACATAAAATTGCTGGGCATGAAAATTCTAATATAGCTATGCTATAAGGATTGGCCTTGGTGTCTGTCATATTCCCTTGATCTCATTTGGAGAATATTTTGCCATGATTGCTTAGGTATCCAGGTGAGTGATATAGGCCCTCTGGGCCTCTTGTTATAATTTATCAATCATTTTATTATAATTTATCAATCATTTTATTACAATTTATCAATAATTCATGTTTTCAGAGAGGACAACACAGCTTGCTTACATAGACTCGGCTGCAAAACCTCCTAGAAGTGTCAGGCGCCAGCAGGCAAGATTTGGCACTGCAGGGCCGTCATCTGGAGAACGGTCACGTGCACGGTTTCACCCAAATATGGATCCAATACCTATAGGAAGGTCAGGGTCTAAAGGTCAGTATATAATCGGTCATCTTAGACAGTGACCACAAAACTGTTCTTAAAAAGTTGAGTTATAGAAGTCTGTAATGAACATATCTATCTTTTTCTGCCCCTGCCATTAAAACCAGGGAGATACAATATTACCCATGTTTGTCCTGTCGCAATTCATTGTCACGACTCTCCACACTAAATTTCTCAACAGATCTCGATCAAAGTTTATACAAAGGTCAAGTATGTACATACCTCAGATTCCTTAGTATTTCAGGATCCCAAGGCTGTTGTCCATGACAATTTGCTATTTATACATCATTTTACGATACAAAAGGGCATTCATATCCTACAGACTGACATTTTCTAGTTTATTTCTATTTGTCCGTAACTTTGGAATGAAATCCAGTGAAACAATGTTGCAACGTAGCAGTTTTACAACTTTCATGGTGTTCGTAGCAAATGTGAGCTCACAGGTTTTGTGGCAAACATCTTGGCCCATATTCAAGAAACTGTTCTCATGCTCAAGCATGGATTTTGTGCACAAACCAACATTCTTGTAACTCGGCTTCAATCAAATGTCAAGGAAAACAAGTCAAGTGTAAACCCTAAAAATGATATTCTGCTTCAAGTCCTGCCAAATGATTGAGGTATTATAGATTTATCCCTGGATCAAGAAATTGTGCTTGAGCACAAAATCTGAGTTTGAGCATGAGAATGGTGCCCTGAGTACAGGCCTTGATCATTAAAGTGACTTTGAAGGACGCAGCTGAGAAATTTCCAACTTTAAGCCATGTCATCTGTTAGCTGAAAACAATAAGTGGGGGATTAGTTTTGCTCAGTGATGCCTTATTATCAATTATCGGAACATCAGTATTGCTCAGTGATACATTGTAATAAAACAACCACTGGTGATAAACATTGCTCATTGATACCTTGTTTATTTTTTAACCTGTTTCAATTGTAAATGTCTTGTCTTAACCTTTAATCAAAATTGATCATTTTAATATTTTCTCTTGGTAGCTGTAAAGACATCGGCTCCCATGATGGCAAAGACACTGACTATGATCAAGAAGATACGGCGTTGATGAAGACGTGAATAGCGGGCCATAAAAACCTTATGTTATAGCATCAAAGCATACATTACTACTGTATTTATCCTGCAATAAGCTCACGGGGCCAACACATAATCCTTAACAGATAGAATGGGGATGGGCTCATTACAGGACAATGAGACCTTTTGTTTGCATTTCTCCCTAACTGCAATACATATTGTTTGGCTTATTACCAAGCATGGGCTTATTGACGGATAAGTACGGTTTTGATAATTTCCGTAATTAATCTGTAACAACTGAAAGACGAGGATTTGGATAGCGAAAATTAATCTCTACACTAAATGTGCCTGAAATATTAATCACCACACCGTCTGATTCACATTTTACTTTTGTATTAATTAAAATGGAATAGATATCATTAACCGTATGAAATATAAGTGACCTACTGTAGCAACTATGATGTGTTAAGTTGTCTGGAAACCATCAAAGATCCCAGGTTATTCAGAAACTTGGAAAAGGTACATAGTACTGTTCTGTAAATGTACAAATCTTAACGGTTTTCTAATTTTAGTACATTTTTTGCGCTTTTAATATTCCTTAATTATGATTATGTTAATTGAAATTTCTGTAGGTATTTTTCTATTGCATGAATTGTGAATACGCCAATTTATCGAAGTGCTACTCTGTTAAAAATTGATGACACACTAAAAATTGACTGCTTAAATAATTTTGCACTACATACTCTATGAATCTTTCATTTCTTACGTTGCTATTTTATCAAATATCTGAAGAAAATTTGTTGTCGATACATTATTATGATTACTTAATACTGCTTTCATGTCATGGGATGACTCTGATGATGAAGATTTGGTTTATGAACAAGTTTTCCAATTATCCTGGGAACTGTAAAGCCGTAAAACATTGTTTAGTGAATGTTTCCAGTTTGGAAACCGTAATATACATAACAACTCTGCCTACAATCTTTGAAAGCTCCCATTGTTGTTTGTTTCGATGGAATGGTGCTATTTTAGTTACGTAATATGGTTCGAACTATTAGACTTGAGTGTATTAAAGATAGATATTTTGGTTTTTGAGAAGAATTTAAGCTTTATTTTGATGTCTATATTATAAAGATAAGTGCTACCCCAATATATACTTTGAATATGATTAGCACATACCTGTCAACTATCGTTGACAGAGACTGTCCCTCTATCTGATCCCCAATATCTAACCTTGAAATATCAACTTAATTTATTTTACAACAATTATGAAATAAATCATTTCAACTTATACTAATCCCTCTTGTTGGCGTGGATGTTAGCGTGCAGGGGTCTTAATGTGGGAGGAAACCAGAGTACCCGTAGAAAACCCACGTGGTCGGGCAGGTGACCCCATACCTTTTCACGTCCAATCGGGGAATTGAACCCTGACCGCCTTGGTGAAATGCCAGTGTGTTATCCCCCGGCCACCCGACGATCCCAATATTTACCAACTGATCCCTCTGAAGGTTTAGGACCCAGTCTGGTCCCCCTGTCTTATAATTCTGACAGAATTTGTCCCTCTTGGGGGCAAAGGTCCCTCTTAGGGGACAAAAGTCCTTAGAGCACAATTCCATTATTTTATAGCATATTCTTGCAAAAAAACTCCACATATGACAATTATTTGTGATGTCAGAGATTTGTTTCTTTCTGCGTGCCATCCATCATATCTTAAGGGGTGACAGAGCAATCATACCCCAGGGAATAACAAAGAAATCTTCAACAGTTGAAATGGGAGATAATTCTGGGAGAAATGTGTTAAGTTTGTTAAACTATCACTGTTACCAACTGAGCTACTGAGTCACCAGAAGTGTCCTGGTCCAGCTGTACTCTACTGAGTCACCAGAAGTGTCCTGGTCCAGCTGTACTATACTATGTCACCAGAACTTCAGAAGTGTCCTGGTCTAGCTGTACTATACTGAGTCACCAGAAGTGTACTGGTCCAGCTGTACTATACTGAGTCACCAGAAGTTTCCTGGTCCAGCTGTACTATACGGAGTCACCAGAAGTGTCCTGGTCCAGCTGTACTATCCTGAGTCACCAGAAGTGTCCTGGTCCAGCTGTACTCTACTGAGTCACCAGAAGTGTCCTGGTCCAGCTGTACTATACTGAGTCGCCAGAAGTGTCCTGGTCCAGCTGTAGTATACTGAGTCACCAGGACTGTCCTGGTCCAGCTGTACTATACTGAGTTACCAGAAGTGTCCTGGTCAAGCTGTACTATACTGAGTCACCAGAAGTGTCCTGGTCCAGCTGTACTACAGTTATATCCAAACTGAAATTAAAGGGAGGTTACTGTATATACCACAAAACACAGTGAGTGGAACAGGGATCCTAAAGTCTTAAAATATGATCTTGTTTAATTTATTGTTTAATCAGGAAATCTGTAATGGAGAAATTTTCTCAACAAACCAGAGTGTCCCGTTGAGATATGTTATTTGTTCTGTATAGCCCAACCTTATTTTATAGGACACAAATAGGGTTTATTACAGTGTTGAAGCATAAATGGTGTTTGCAATATGTTTATAGATATTATGTTCAATGATAGCTGTATTGGTATCTTAAGCTTGGTGCAGTTATTTTCCTTCAGGGGCAAGTAGTGATTTTAATGCAATGCTTGTCTTTCATCTTCTAGTCTGTAATAGTTAGAATTGGTTTCTTCTTTTCTAGTTTATGTTTATTTATTTTTCAACAGTTATGAAACAAGTTCTAAACTTATAGTTATTAATCACTTTTGTTCGCTTAGATTAAAATGCAAAGGCATGTCTTACAACGGGAGGAAAGTTAAGTTCCCAGAGAAAACCAAAGTTGGTGGCTGCGGTGGGCAAGCGGTTTAGGCATCCGGCCATCTAGGAACACTAGTCATCCACCACTGGGTCTAAGTTTTGAGGCCTATGTGGGGCAGTCGCCAGGTACTGGCCACAGGTCAGTGGGTTTTCTCCGGGGAACTCCGGCTTTCCTCCACCATTACATCCTTGCTCGTCCTCAAATGACCATAGCTGTTAATAGGACTTGCGACACAAACAAACCAAACCATAAACCTAAGTGGTCAAGTTCATAGGTGTCAACCTTGAGCTCTGAAACCTCCAATGAAGGAGATCTCCCTCATTCCGCATTTTCAATGAGGGAGAAAGTGTGTGAACCGGGGCTGAAACTGCTTTGCTCAATTTATCTTTCCCTCTTTATGTATCTAAATAACTCCAAAAAGCATTCATTTGATTCAGACACACCTGTTATGATCATTACACATACCCTGCAGTAACTAGGAGATTATTTGACCACAGGATGTAGATTTTGAGTTTGTATGAGTTTGGTCTTGAATGAGGGAGATTAGGAAATATTGGTCAAAATGAGGGAGTCGCCCTCCTAATGAGGGAGGGTTGACAGCTCTGCAGGTTGAATGCATGCATCAGGAAAGTCAGTTTTCCTGAATTTTGTGTGTGTTCCATTGTGCAATACACCATGTTCCCTGTCTAATAAAGAGTTGTTGACTGTGATTACAGACAACAGATGTTTTGATGGACCCAAAGTCCATGGCAGAGGGAAATAGTTTGAATGATGGTCAAACCAACATACACCCAAATTGTTGTCTGAAACTTTAGTAAGCAAGTCTTTTTGTTATGCTTCAGGTTTTGTTAAATTTAAATATTAAATAATTTGACCAAAGAATAAATCATATCAGGAAATATTAATGTTAATTTTGTAATCATGAATTAAAAATGTCTGTAGAGTTTAGCAATCCTGTTAATTTGGATTATTTTCTCCCAAAACAACATTTTAGGGCTATTGTAGGTTTGATATTGGTGAGAGGGTGGGGTTGGGGAAATGTGTGCAGGGAGGATTTTGATTTTTGACATAGGTGATGTCCAAAATTAATTTTGACTTCGAAAGTACCTGTGAAAAGGTCACTAATAGGCGATCAAGATCACAGCGACCTTAGAATTTGTTACAGATATATTTAATTACGGACAGCATTTTTACAGAATATTAATGAAAACCCTAAAACAAGTAAAATTACTCTGAACACCCAGTTTAGGTCCAAATAGAACTGTAACAAATTCTCATCTGCTGGGGATGACAAGAAATGTCTCCCTATTGTTTGTTTAACTATCTCACAAATCATATGATTAGGTCACAGCTATTGCTTACTGTGACAGTCAAAATTGAATACTTCTACAGAAAATTGACAAATAAGAAGCAGAGACAGCTTCCGGTTTTTTGCTTCTTTTGAAAAATAAAAGCATGACAAAATACAAATACAAAAACAACAGAAGCATGCAGTTGTTGGAAGCTATCCCAATCGCTGTTATTTATATTTGTACATTTTCACAAATATATCGTTATCAAATCATCTGAAAAACTGCAGTGGAACAGATAAGTATGGATTATTTATCATAAAATATTTGTGGAAATAATTGTCAAATTAAATGATTAAGTCATCTCATAGTATAAAATAACATGAACCATACGCTGTAGTGCAGATGGAGAGATGATTCAGTTGTTGTCAGTGCTTTTCGGTATACGCCTGTCAAACATTTGATAGGATGTATCAAGTATGAGGAGCACCTGTCTGTCTGACCAGCCATACTGTGATTTAATTAGTCGAGGGTTTCTACATAGCAGTAGTCAGATATGACTGGTACTTAGTTAATATTTATACTATACATATAGACAGAAGTGAAGTAATTCCTATGTTATTAAATATATTTTTGAAGATATCAAAGGAAACATCTATTCTTAGTTTAAGTGAGTGAGGTACAGGATGAATTCTCCTTTCATCGTACCCCAGGATAAATTAAACTTTACAAAATTATACTGTACACATGAAAATTCTTCTTGTGACATTTCAATATTTTCATACATATTAATTGTTTATAAATCATGGAATTTTGTTGAGGTGAATATGTCATTATATGGACCTGAGAAAATGATATTGACGGAGACAAAGTCGAGATCAGAATCGCTTTCTCAAGTCCATATAACTAAATATAAATTATCTACTAGGGTAGTGTCTTAATGTGGGAGGAAACCGGAGTAACCGGTGAAAACCCACGTGGTAGGGCAGGTGACCTTATACCTTTTCACGTCCGATCGGGAAATCAAACCCCGGTCACCTTGTGTGTTATCTAATATGTGTGCATAATGTATATAGACAAAAACTTAAGTTGGGGTGATGATGGTACATTGTAGAGTCATTATGTTTGGTTTAAACTTTGTAGTATTTTTTTTTTTGACAATATATTGAAATACAGACTACATTATTATGTTTGACAATGCTAGTAGAAGTATTATAAAATGTGATACTCCTGTATGTGATTGATAACTGTAATATAATAATTTGTACATGAAATGCAAAAATGTTTTTTTTTATATATCAATTTTGAGAACACCAGGTGTTACCAAGATCTTTTTTTATTTTGCTTTATGAATGGTATACAAAGAAAAGTTCTTTTTTTTCTAGTTAAAAAAATGATTTCTTATTATTACATATCTGAAAGAAAAAAAATAAAATATTTAATAATAAATCTTGGTATAACTTTTGTGCATACAGCACCAAAATGGAACCTGAAAATATGTCCTGAAGTTATTTAAATTAACAAAATGATCGTTAATGTAAAAAAAACAGTTCCCTGGTTAGAGTTCAGATAAGTGAAGCTCGACTGTTTTTTCTATAGTTTACACTGGGGAAAAGAAAACCCATAAAATGGACAGGCTTTATTATTTTCTTTGATCTCGCGTTCAAATGAATTATTTATAATAATGTTGTGAAATATTTTGTACAGGTTCCTATAGCACAGCCAGTGAAGTGCTTCGTATGTTTTATGATGTTTAAGGCTTAGTTAGCAGCTAGCTATATAGGTCATCACAATATACTATTGTACAAACAGACTTTACGAGGCAGCTGTGTGGCCGAACTATAATATTTTAGCATTAACTCATTCATCCCTGAAGACACATTTGATTTTTTCCAATGCAAAGGGCGGAATAGTTCATTATGAAAGTTCAGGGGTGAATGAGTTTAGCACTTATGTTAACATTTTGGTTGTGTTGGTTTGGACCTCGTTTCATTTTATTTATCTTTTTCCGCCAATAAACTATGTTAACAAGTATTACCATGTTTAATGTATCAGTGATAGTCGTAATGGAATCGTCGACATTTATGTATGTACTGTATAGTCGTAAGAATATGCTATGTAGCCATTTACGGTAGGGATGCGTATTGCAAGCAATTTTCCTATTGAAAATTAAGCTTAAATATACTGCAATAATCGTCCTACCAGGAGCTGGCCATTGAAGACATAATCTTTGGGTAATATCTTGGAAAGGGTGGGGTGAGACCCTTCCCCTTTCTCACTATATAACTACTTACTGAAAGCTAGCTAGTCATTAAGAGATGAACATAGTCGTGCTTCAAGGATTATCTCCGGGGGGG